CAGATCCAGCATTTCCAGGTGGACCAGCGGGTCCGGGACCTCCGTCCGGTCCTGGAGGTCCTGGTGGGCCTTCTGGGCATTTGATGCAAGAGCTGGGCACACCGGACGGAGCAGAATGTCCAACGCCTCCATGTCCACCATCTTTTCCTGGGAGACCGGGTTCTCCATCTTCTCCTGGGTGTCCCGGTGGCCCTTGTGGGCCTGGTGGGCACCCGGTAGCAGCCGGTGCGCATTGGCATTCTGTCAAAGTTGGATTGTAACTTCTTTGAGCAAAATGCGTTCCCAAGCAAAATTTTACCTGATGACTGTCTCTTGCTTCTGGTAATGTATCTCTCAAAGATAACTGGTCGCTCAACTCTTCCATTCATGGAAGTCATCATCTCACTCCATGCATCGTCTGCCATATCCTGAATAAGTGAATTTAAAAAGAGGCTTCACTAGGTCAATTCTCACCTTGAACTGCTGCAGATCCATTTTGATCTCGTCCTGGAAGGAGGTGATGTCGTAGAGCATCAGAACCGTAGATATGACGGCCGTCACTGCTGCGACAGCGGCCGAAGCCGACACCACTTGGACAAGCGTATGCACATACAACATCTTGAGGTCCAGACAAGAGATTTACCTAGAATAACAGAAGATTACCTGAAATTTCTCATTATCTCACTCAATGCTGCACATGATGGCGAGACAAAGGCAAAAGCGATCAACAACAGCTGCGTAACAGCTTTATATGTGTCGCTAACGACTGGTATCATTTCCTTCTGTTAGCAAACAGGTATTCAAGCAAGTTTGCGCATTGTTATCCATGATTCCATGGTTATTTCGCGCACGATTACGCAAGATTTATGTAATCTGAGATGCCGTGTAACAAAATCAGTAATTAACACGTTCACGACAAGGCCGATTTTTCAATTATTTCGTTTCAGACCAGAGCCTTTTTCGCTTTGTCAAATTTACGATCCATCTATAAGTCGCATTGTCCGAGACGATAGTCTCGAAAAAAATTTTGAAATAAGACTCTGAAAACTAT